ATTAACTCTCAAACTTTAGAAGAACACGGAACCTAGAGTGAATAAGAAAATGAAAGGATACCAAGACAAAATCAAGAAACGACTAGACGATTCGGAAACGTCAGCGTGTCACTCGCTTTCTGTCACTAAATCTGGGGAAATGTGTGATTCACCCAACGTCAAACAAATCAGTGATCAAGTGTTTTATAACAGCAGGGTTGACGCAGTTATCACATTGTTGTAAAACAAATTTTGGTGCAGAACGTCGCATCCTAATGTATTGTGCAGCTCCAAAAGTAATGGTATGTGACTGCTTAGGAAAGGTAACAAAATGAATATTGTGAGTTATGTATTAAGACAAAAAATATTTGTCCATAGTAGGGAAGTTGAAATCGATGGGCCTTGAGTATCTTCATATTTCTAATATGAAAACTATGTGGTACAGGCACGGCATAATTGACCATAAAATGACACAATGAGTGCCATTAAGGGCGTAATATACAGTCAAGCCTGCTTTAGCGGTCACCTGAAATAAACAGCCACCTCCCTTGTGTGGTCAGTCTGTGGTCCACTCGATAGAAAAGAAAAAAATAAGGAACCTGAAATAGGCAGCCACCTGTCTAATGCGACCAGCGGTCACAACAATCTGGCCAGATACGTTATCTCCACCTGTATTCAGCGGTCATTTTGTCCAGAAATTGACATCAAGAAGATCACAATATATTAACAAGAACATATCTCAACAGAGCAAATCTAATTATAATGTGTAAATAAAAACCATAGGTAAGGTTTGACACGTTGAATTGACAAGTTGTTTACACAGCGATTTTCAGCTTGCAAATTGGGGCAGGTCCTACCGACTCATCAACAATGTTTTGCCAGTCACTATTTCTAACTCAACGAAGCACACATCATGTCAACAGGATAAATTTAACAGAGCAGACGCTGAATCAGATTTCTTTTTTAAATACTATGTCGTGATTTATTTCTATAATATATTTATTTGGTTTGTAGTAGCTGTGCGAGATCAGGACATTAGTGTTAACCTTTCCGTACGGCGCATGCCTGGGTGCTGTGAATACACCGTTACGTTAAGTTATAAGCTCAAAGATTCTTGCAAAATTCTAGATTTATTGAGTGATTTGTTTATAAGTGATCAATAAACTAAATACTGATATATCATTTCATTAGAAAACTATTTGAACCACATAGATCAGAATACATCGTAATGCAGATTTTCATTAAAAGTAGATCTACATGTAGATTTCAGTACTGGTGGTTGTCTGCTAGCGCAAAACGTAAGTGGAACACGTGTGTAGCCAAACAAAAATATTTACATTTGCATGGCATTGTCACTATAAAGCCTCTTTGAAAGCTGTGTCGTTGATGAGACTTTAATTACCATGCATCACGAGACACAATTCTTAGCGTATTAATACAACACTGTCCGGAACTACAATATCCAATATCGCTGGGCATTGTTAGATTTGACAATGCCATTGTAAATTTATGTGCAAAATAAAAACTAAAATAAAAAACACTTTTATTAAAACGAAAACAAGACCAATGTCTGCAATATCGTACAAAATGCACATCGGTTGCAATCACCAATGCCGGCAATGGAAACAATTTTAACGCTCATGCAATTTATCAGAAATATCGTCTGTTACACTGCACTGATCAACAGGGGTTCGTTACAAATGTCTGAAATACACATATTATATAGACCTACTGACACATATGTTACAGACTTGCTGATATGAGTCACAGCACACATAAGCATTTCAGACATTTGTAACGAACCTGTGCTCCGTCGCAAGATCACTCACTTCAAACGCTATCACTCAGTTTCACGCGTCTCGCATCTACGGTTCCTCAGTTTAATTCTAACGACAGGTCAAATAACGACGCTGTTATAGAATCTACCGACTGTTGTCAGGTTCCCATACAATCAACAATTAAATTCACAACTGGATTCTTCACAAAATGAGCAAAGAGAAAAGTTCGAATAAACTTCCAAAAATAACTCCCTCCTGGAGGGCAAGGTCGGATTTGCGGTGTTCACTGTATTTTTCCATGCGCGAAATTTGTTCCGGAGGAAAATCGAAACAATCTAAAATCTAACTTTCAGCTCAGAGTTCTATTGATAAACTTAAATCACCCTATATACATATCATACGCAATTGTATTGATACTGAATTGTGGAATATAATTTTAAAAAAGAACATAAGAGGGAGAGAAAACGTAAATATAAGTGTTTTTGTATGGTATTTATAATCTATTTGAAAGCAAACAAATCATAATGCGCTAGCGCTCATTATGTTGTTTGCTTGAAAAGCTGTGTCATTCAAATAGATCATAAATACCATACAAAAACAGTTCAATGCTTAAATAAATTCATCATTTCAAGAAATTAATCACCAAAACGCCTTTGTATTTGATTGAATATGCATTTGTATTCAAGTATAAAATCGTACTCCAGTTAATGAAGGGGGAAACGTTCAAAATAACATAGCAGGCTATATTGCCGGGAAAATGTCATTATAACCCGTGGATGTATGAAAACTTGGTTGTGATTTTCAGGTGAGCCTGGTTTTAGCAGCCACCTGTCTGAAGCGACCAATTTCTGCCGGTCCCTTGGGTGGCCTCTTAATACATGTTTGATTGTATACTGTATCCACAGTTGAGGTTGCGAACTATATTCATTTTAGTTATAGATAAGAATTATTTGCTTGAACGATTTAAAGATATAAAAAAAATCGTCATTTTGCACATTTGTACAAAATAGAGAGATGAGATAACGAAGCATAACAAATTATGAACAATAAAAGACACTAGTATTGACACCATTGGTCCAGCGATTTTTTATTGTTATAAAAGGCTGCACATAAAACGAATGACATTTTATCACATAATGTACTATGCTATTCAGTGAATATACTCATTTCATATGTTTTGCGTATTTACCAATGTAATATGACGTACCAGCCTTGTGATTGGTTGTAAGTTTAATTGTTTCAATTTTGACATCCCCCCTAGAAATAGTACATGACGTCACATAATTGTACCCACTGGAGTCAAAATGGCGGCTTTTAACATTTCAAGGTTGCATACAAATTGTCGTTTTACACCAATACATGCCACAAATTTTGATGAGGTGATAAAAAGGATCTTACAATCGTTTTCATTTTATATGAAATTTATGAAACTCGTCATAAATTTTTCATTTTAGCTCGCCAGAGGCTTGCTTAATTGAAAAATTCTTCGACTCGTTTCAAATTGTTTTTACTGTACCTCGAAAAATATTGAAAGAATTATAGAGGGATTTACATTCACTTTTGTATGGTGAAGTATGCTATACTCATGTCCATCGCGATATATTACAGCCTATAGGTAAATTAATGGAAAGGAAACGTGCAAACATGCAATTCAGTTTATCTGCCTTAGGAGATACGGGACTGCGCATGTCAAGCAATGGTACCGGATGTATCGTACCCCTATCGGTTCTTCAAGCAGCTACAGGAAAAAGTAATCGATACTTTAAGGAGACAACGGTATGCTTAACACATATCAAAACACGTTACTTATGTAATTGATGACACGACACGAAACGATGTAAATTTCTTGTTTTACGTTGTTATCACACTTCAAAATGCCATTGCTTCGTCTTCGAGAGTATCTCAGATTTCCCCCTTCCTTTCCTTAGCCTGTTTACTGGCAGACGTTGTTACTAAAAGATGAAGTAAATGTTAGATTAAATCTAGATATAGTTCTTGACATTCTGGTACTTTTACATCTTTATTCACTGCGTGACTTATTTGCTGATCATACCAACAGCGCAACTTCCGGTTGACGTATCAATGGCGACTTGTTAAGGAAGGGCAGTGGTAATAAGTATCGCTTCATTCTAATGTGAACAAATTGAGCACGGAGTGACACAGATCTAACAGCTCACGGACGACGCTGAAATTGATTATTGAGATAATTAAAAATATACATCAAAGTTACTAGTACTAGATATCACATGGAACGCAGTCACATTCTGTTGGTAAGTGGAATGATATTTATTGTACTCACAGAGTAATTTAATTGATCGTGATCGCCCTTAAACAAAGCTCGTTTTGAAGCGTTTGGATGACCTTTCCTTTATGACATTTTCGCATGTTAGCATCAGTATTACACGGTTTTTTTTCGTGGAACGCAAATATATTAGAGAGTAGGTGGATTTTTTTTATCTAACAGTGTTCCAACAGATCATATAGTTGAAATGTCTTAATGGAGGAAATTATCTGACTGTGATGCATTTATCATGCTGTATGGGAAAGTCAGTATTGACGCCGCGTCTCTCCGGTAGGTTATGCAATATGATGATGGAGTTTGCTGGTAAAGGGGCAAGTCCTTCTTGTCTTCCGGTTTAAAATGGCGACAGGGTAGATCGGCCTGAGTTAGGTGAGGAAGGGAAAGGCGGTAGAAAGGAAAGTAAACAGCTGGAGTGAGGTGTGAGGACCGCAAATAGAAAAATGGGAGTTGACATTGCAACGTGGAGGTCCAGAATTGGCTGCAACTCCCAGCCGAACCAATGGAGGAAATCGCGGGTGGCCGGTGTGTGGGGCTCGTGTGTGCACGTGAAAGCAAGATGGCGGAGAAATGTGGTGATTTTTGTGGCGATGTTGCTGGTGATGGCGGGGGTAGAGACAAATCCAGGACCACATTCTCGGGGTGGACAAAGCAGAGGTCAACAACATAGGGCCGACCAGGACAGAAGACAGACCAGGCTAGGGTCAGAAGGTGGCGATATGACCTTGAGATCTGGAGATCGGGATCGGGACAGGGAGACTACAAACGTAGGTGAAATGTTTGAGAGACTGTCGAAACAAATAGCCGACTCTACAAAAATGTTACAACAGGAGATACATGAAACAAGAGACAGCTTAAAAGTTGAGATGGACAATCTAAGATGGGAAAATGACGATCTTAGAACAAAAGTTAGAGGGTAAGAAGACCAGGGTCGGAGAGATAACATGATTTTTTGGGGCCTGGATGAGGACGATGAGTTTGAGACCTGGGAAAAATGTGAAAAGAAAGTGCGCGATTGTATGGTTGAAACGCTAGGTCTAGAGGATGCTGGTGATGATAGAGAAATAGAGATAGAACGGGCACACAGACTGGGAAGGAAGAAAGTAGGACCAAATAGTAAGGCAAGAGGAATAATAGTAAAGTTCGGAAGGTGGAAACATAAACAGAGGGTAAAAAACGCGGTGAAAGAAAAACTATCGAAAGACAGTGGTTATAAAGGGAAAACTAGGGTTTCGGAAGACTACAGCCAGGAACTGAGAAATATTAGAAAGGAACTACTGGACGCGATACCCAGCATAAAGACTGAAAATCCTGGAAAGAAAGTGTTTTTAAATTATGATAAAGTTACAGCTGGGAGAAATATTTATAAATATGACACCTGTGTAAGCGAAGTATATCTTGTAACCGATCGCAGACAAAATGACGGGAACTCAAGTTTTGGAGGATGACGGGATGGCCGTAGCCAAAGTATAACTACGCGGCACCACAAAGAACTAAAATTTTGTTCTTGGAACATTAGTGGATTGAACAATTTGAGAATCAGAACTGATATTGTAAATAAGTTGATGAACTTTGATTATATCTCCTTATGTGAAACATGGGCAAATTGCAAGGAAGATTGTGAGGGTATTTTTGCTCAATTTAATATTTTTTGTAACTATGGTGAAAAGAAATCCAAGTATGGAGCTACTCCACATGGTATAAGCGTATTTATTAAAAAATCCATGGACAAATTTATTAAGTCTGTTCATGATAAATATAAGATGTGTGTAAGTATACTTTTTGACAAGGAAATGTTTGGATTTGAAAAAGATGTACTGGTATGTTCAGTATATATACCTCCAAGTGGTTCAAGTTTTTATACAGAAAAAGAACAAAATGGTATAGCAATCCTTGAAGAAGAAATAATTGATATACTAGATAATATAGAAGATGATGTACAGATTATATTGTGTGGTGATTTTAATGCAAGAACTGGTGAAATGCAAGATTTTGGAGAAAGTGAGAAATATCTCCCTTTGGGAGAAAATGTAGAAGATATTACATTTAGCAAGATAAGATTATCTAAGGATTTAAACACAAATACTTATGGTAAATCGCTTATTGAGTTATGTAATAAGTTAGATACTCATATTTTAAATGGACGTACAATGGGAGATAACTCTGGAGAGTATACATTTATATCCCATCTTGGGAAAAGTGTAATTGACTATGTAATTGTTTCATCATATATTTTTGAAAATATTTCAAATATGATAGTGGAAACGTGGGACATATCAGACCACTTTCCGTTAGTGTGGAGTGTAGGTAGCTCTTTAATTGATGCACAACATATTGATCATTCATTTACGGAAAGAAAGCGTTTTAAATGGAATGAGGCATGTAAGGATAAATTTGTTATAAATCTAGAAAGTGAGCTTTCTAAGGAATTCTTTTCCAAATTTTGGGAGAACCTACGTAATAATATAAATAGTGCAACGACAACATTATGTGAAATTGTATCTCATGCTGCCAAATGTATGCAGAGAAAAACTTACAGACTTAATACTCAACCGAAATGGTGGGAAAATGAGTGTGAATATTTGAAAAAAGAGAAATATGAACTATTAAATGTATTTAGGAGGTCCAACTTGGATGATGATCTACGACGGTACCAAAGTGCGAAGAAAAGATTCAAGGGAGTGTGCAAAGTAAAACAGACACGGGTCAAAAATAACCAAGCGGAGGAAGTGCTTTCTCTAAAGGACCCAAATGATATGTGGAAAAAGCTAAAAAGCTTTAAGAGTACAAATAATAATAACTCAATAACAGGAGGACAGTGGTTTAATTACTTTAAAAACTTATTAAATTCAGCAAAATTTACTGTGGAAGAAACTTTTATGCAAAATGTACATGACACATTAGATGAACATTTCAGTGCAGAAACTCATACTTACAACGAATTACTAGATACTGACATAGAACTAGAAGAAATAAAGAGAGCCATTCACCAATTCAAATTAAATAAAGCTCCTGGTGAAGATGGTTTAGTGATTGAACTTTTTAAATATGGAACTGATGATGTACTTAAGTGTCTCTGTGGTTTGTTTAACAAAATATTGGAGTGTGGGGTTTTCCCTATTGACTGGTGTAAGGCAATTATACATCCTATTCACAAAAAGGGTGATGTAAATTTACCAGACAATTACAGAGGTATTTCGCTCTTAAATGTTATGGGGAAAATATTTACAAAAATTTTAAATAATCGTTTAATTTTCTGGGCAGAAATAGAACAAAAATTTCACGAGGAACAGGCTGGTTATAGAACTGGATATTCAACCATGGATCACTGTTTTTCTTTACAAGCTTTGGTGCAGAAATATCTCAGTAAAAAGAAAGGTAGGATGTATTGTATTTTTGTTGATTTCTCCAAAGCTTTTGACTGTGTACAGCACCCACTTCTACTATATACCTTAATAAAAAACAATGTTAGTCATAAAGTGATTAAGATATTGAAATCTATGTATTCAAATATGAAGTCGTGTATTAACACAACAGATGGATTGTCTCAATATTTTGAGTGTAATGTCGGAACGAAACAGGGCTGTATGTTAAGTCCCTTCCTGTTTGTAATATTTTTAAATGAGGTTATAGAACAAATGAATGAAGCAAACTGCCAAGGAATTTTTGTAGATGCTGAATTACCCAATGTCATGCAGTTACTATTTGCTGATGATATGGCAAACATGGCGGATACTGTTGTAAATTTACAAAAACAAATAGGAATTATTGAATCCTTTTGTAAAATGTATGGTATGATGGTAAATCTTACCAAAACTAAGGTAATGGTTTTTAGACGAGGAGGAATTTTGAAGAAAAATGAAAAATGGTTTTTCAACAGAGAAAGAATAGAAGTGGTACAAATGTACAAATACCTTGGTATGTACTTTACTTGTTTTCTTAAGTGGAATAAAACTAAGGAAGCACTTGTTATTTCAGCAGAGAAAGCTTTGTTTACTTTATTTAGATTCATAAATACTTATGATTTAGGATGTTCGCAGGCATTGTATCTTTTTGATCATATGGTAACTCCTGTAATAACATATGGTGCTGAAATATGGGGCTATTGTTACAGTCCCGGCATAGAAATTGTACAAACAAAGTTTGTTAAAAGACTATTGAGAGTAAAGCAATCAACTTCAAACTTGGCTGTTCTGGGTGAATTAGGGAGACATCCCATGTGTGTTGTTTATTATAAAAAGTGTATAAAGTATTGGTTTAATATTTTAAGTATGGACTCCTCTAGATATCCACGAAGGTGCTATGATATGTTAGTAAATTTACACAATGCTGGAAGAGTAACTTGGGCTACAAATATTAGAGATCTATTGTACAAATATGGATTTCATTATGTATGGATATATCATGAAGTTGGCGATGTAAATAGTTTTATGAGACTGTTTACCCAAAGAGTAAAAGACACTTGTATGCAAGAATGGGATTTTGGAATAAATAACTCTAATAAACTGAATTTTTACTCGGATGTCAAAACTTTAATTGAACCCGAACGATACTTATATTGTATTACAAATAAGTCTCATAAAATTGCTCTAACCAGGCTGCGTGTATCCAGTCATGAATTATTTATTGAAAAAGGTCGTGAACTAAAAATTCCAAGGGAAGAAAGATTATGTAATTACTGTTTATATACAAACAATACAAGACTCATTGAAGATGAATATCATTTTTTATTACACTGTCCATTATATGAACATATAAGACAAATGTGTGCATTGGAAAACTATGTTGAAGCAAAATATATGTTAATAACTGGAAATGAAGATAAATTAAGAAATGTTGCTAAATTTGTATATTTAGCTTTTGAAGCAAGATCAAATTATATTATATCTGTGACATCACAAATTTAGTATTATTAAATCGGAAGTCAGTGCTATATATTAGTAAATTGTACGTTATAAGGTACTTTGCAGAAATTGTTTTTGATGTAAAAATTGTGTGAATATGGTTATTATGTACTGTGCAAATTGTACTATGGGCTAGTTGGCCTTGAAATACTTAATAAAATATCTTGAACTTGAACTTGAACTTGAAAGGGGCAAGTCCTGTGTGATTGTATGTTATACTATGTAATTTTGATGCATGAGATAAATCTACCTTGGTCTTTACCTATACTCTATAAATGTCTTACTGTACTTAAACATGTAACTGCCCTTGTATATTTATGTTCTTACTAAACACGGGATTAATTCCTTATTTATGTGTTGTATGTAAACATCAATTATATATGCTCAGTCAAATATTACAATGTACTTACGTGATTACAATGTAATCACCTTTACTAGGATTAGCCGTTTATACTTACGTAAAATACAATGTACTTACAATGTACCTTTACGAGGTTTACCTTTTATACTTCTATATGTTATTACTTGTATATTATATCACTATTGTTGTACGTTTACATTTGTATATACTTATGAGAAACCGGATCAGTACTCGGACAGCAACATCATTGTTTAACCACGATCACTCTACTGTATATATAAATGCCCATCGCTAATTAGGAGATGGTTTTACATAAGCTCTAAGCTTGTTACCAAATCCTCTTGCATACTTTTGACATATTGTACTACCTTATTCTTCAATAAATATTGTTTAAACTAAGTCCTATAACAGTGAAATTTCACATCTTGGACACGTGAAACGTCGAACCAAGACACCTCACCCGGTCTTAATGGAATATGCAGAAAAACTGGAAAAGGACTGATGAAAAGAGTTGCGATGGGGATGGTAGATGAATGTTGGTCTCTGTGGTCGAAATAAGTCGCATCGAACAGCGAAACAATGCCGTACAGTCGTCACCGCTCATGACATTGGTGAAGAGTTTACGTAAAGGAATGGCACATGTACAGAAACGTTTGATTTCTACGGTGTGCTATGGCAAGCCTTTCTAACGTTAAATACACTAAAGAGATATCCGTATTATTATTTTATAGGTATCTGTATTACAATTAAATATCTATATATTTCATTTAAAGATAACGCTTTTAAAGTTAAAGATACCTCTATGTCTTTCATAGATATCCTTATTATATCTATTATGTCTTTAATACTTT